TTGCTAGCACGACAAGGTCATCGTATCGACCATAGAACTTACGAAATGATTTACACCACTTCACGAATATACTTTTGCACAATGCTCTGCGAGTTTCTCCTTTACTACTGTCAATCTTAGTGAGGAGTAAAGAAAGTGGCTTGGTTGAACATTTAATGGAACCCGCTGTATGTCTTTGTAAAGATGTTTATGAAGTTTTGAAATCCAATATAAATATGGTAATTCAGATTGATTTTGGTTGCTTGAAATGTTAACATATTTAAAACTGACATATGATTTTGAAGCATTTCTTCCTTAGCGAAGGAACTATAATAAGTTGGATTACCACATGTAGAACTAATTCCAATTATTTAAACAGGCCACAAAGCGATCATCATTTTGTAATCCACTATCTAGCAAAACCATTTGTTTTCAGCATACGATTTAAGGTCATAATTGTTCCAAGAAATAGAAATCAGACACATCCAGGTGTAAAGCCTTTTTTTATTCATACACTTCAATATGAGTTAAATTAATTTATTGATGTATTGAGAAGTTAAGGATTTTGTTCATGACCGAATATTTTCAGAGCAGATGGTGCAAAGCAAAAACTTCATCAAAGAAAATCATACTGTCGATACTCTTGAGCGGAGCAAGTATAAATCTGTAACATCTGCATATGAGCAATAGATTTATGATAATGTTTTTATTTGACATTGTAAACGAGTAATATGGACAGGTTTGTAAAAGTGCGGGCTCTTTACTTACACTCTAAAAAAAGTTTTACTTGTTGTTTTTAAAATAAGATATTAGATTAAGAAAAACTAGTAATTATTAGTAATCCATTTAGTCAGAATAGCAAGTAAATGACTATCATGGTTAGTAATTGTAAACATAATTAGTAATAAGGATGAATTCATTTACTTATAAAATGATTTACTAAGTATCAATACTCAACAGGAATTCTATTACTAAATGAACTACTCATTTCTAGTAAATTATTATTACTTAATTTAGAGATAATATGCTTTCTATTTACTACATTTTATGAATTATTACTAAGTAAATGTAATTCTGAAATTAATTAAAATCTAGAATATTATTACTTAAGTGAATGCTAAGTAAATGAAATACTTATCATATTTACTAAAATCGGCATTATTTACAAGAAAAACTGCAAAGTATCGTCCCTCTGATAAAGGAGATACATGTAACTATGAAATATAAAATGTAGACTTATCACAGTTTTCTTGATCATAGTGTCCTAATTGAGCTTTCTGAGTAGTCAATTAGATGAAATCTACTTGGAATGGTAACAATACTTTCTATTTCTTTTGCCAATTTTTTTGTAATTGTTTTATTATATTTAACAATAAAACATTTAATTCCAACATCAAAAGCCTTATAAATTGAATAAGTTGTCTCTTTTTAAGGACCAGTTTAAAAATGGTTTAAAGTTTCAAGTACTTAATACAGCATTTTAATTAGTATGACTTTTTTTTTACATGATGGAATATTTAGGAGGAAGATAACTCCTCCTCACAGACAATTAATATGGAAGCCAAAATTATATATAACATTTCAAGAATTCAATCCTGATAGTGATTAGACTACCATTTTTAAGTAATTATTTGTATTGAAACTGCTCTGAATTCTCCTTGATTCAGTAAATAAATTAGTGTTTTAAGTAAAACAATTAAATACAATTTAAACAAGATGTGTTTGGGAAACACTGATGCCCCTCGTATGGCAACATAGCAAAGGTTAAACTTTTCTTATATGCAAATTCAATATATTGGTATTTCTTGATATCTCAAAGGTCAAGGTCAAATGGTCAATGTTATTGGTATCTAATGAAAGGTCCTGCCACAAAAAATTCATATCTGAAATATGAAAGCACTAGCCCCAACCTTTCAAAAGTTATGGTCAAGGCTACCAATTTTGAAATGTAGATCAAACTCCAAGGTCAAGGACAAAGGATCAGATTTGGTGGTACCCAAAGAAATGTCTTGTCACAAAGATGGAATTTGTAAAGTATGAATGCACTAACCCTAACCCTTTTAAAGTTAAAGTCAATGTTTGCTTTTTAAAAGTGGGTCAAACTCCACGGTCAATGTCAAAGGGTCAAAGTTCTTGGTATCCAATGACTGGTCTTCTCACAGGAATTACATATATGTAAGTATGAAAGCCCTTTCCCTTATCGTTCAAAAGTAATGGCCAAGGTTAAAGTTTTTTCACAAGGATTGAAATCTCCAAGGTCAAAGTCAAATGGTCAAGGTTATTGGTATCCAATGAAAGGTCTTTCAACAAAAAATATATATGTGAAGTATTAATGTCCTGGTATTTACTGTTGAAAAGATATGGCTAAAGAAAAAGTTTGGAATTTGTAAAAGTGGGTCAAACTCCAAGGTCAAGGTCAAAAGTACAAATTTGGCGATACTCAAAGAAAGGTCTTGTCAAAAGGAATGGATATGTGAAATATACAAGTCATAGCTCCGCTAAATCAAAAGTTATGGGCAAGGTTAATTTTTTTGCGGAAAAACAGACAAACAGAGAGACAGACAGACAGACGGACACGACAAAAACTACATACCCCCGAAACTTTGTTTACGGGGTCAAAAAAATATTAGCTATATATAGTAAATAGTGGTTAAATCTAAGTAAAGGCCAAGTAATGTTATTACTTATATACACAAATTTAAGTAAATATAAATTACTAAGTAAAACTTTTTAGTGTTTAAGTAAAACAATTCTTTAAAATACAAAAATCAAGTAAAACATTTGAATTTAGTAATTGACATATATTTAAGTAATTGATTTAAAATTCTAAGTAAATGCTTAGTAATTATCTTTTACTTATCTTTGTTATTTCAAGTAAAAAATGACTACTAAGTAAAACTTTTTTAAGAGTGTAGTCACCCGTTCTGAATCAGCTGATCGGTGAAATATACGATGACGGAACAGAACATTGCTCACTATTAAGTGTTTATTTCACTTCTAAGCGAGTGTTCGGTGTTTATACGAGTCCTTTAATCAACATCAATCGCTGCATCTTTTTCTTTCTATTTCTTAAGTGTTCGCATTACCTCACGGCAAATATTTATGAGATGTTTGTGTTTGAGCGTTTTAATCATTAAGTCTTGATGTCTCAAACGTTTTCGATCTAATACATCATTATTATTATTGCATTCATTAAAGTGCATTATATCTTCTTTATCTTTTTATTTGTCATGCACACGTTTACAAGAAGAACATACAAGCGCCTACATGTGAACATGTAATACGCTTATAATATTTACTCATAGAATATTGTTTTGGATAGAGATTTTGATAAAATATCTTTAAAACGAAACAAAATTGTTTGTGGTTTAAAATAGTTAATTTGTCATCCGAGTATGAAAACTTTAACTAATTATTTAGGACATTTCAAAAATTTAAGACAAATTAAAGATCAAGCAATAAATCTCGAGTTTTGAAAATTCATTTTAAACAATTAAGGAAAAAAGAATGAAGTAAATTTCCCAACAAAGTCTTTTGCTGTTGATTATAAGACATCTGGTATAAAACGGATTTTTTAGGCTCTCTGGTACATGTCTTTTATTTCAAGTTTACTTGTATACATATTGAATCAATTAACATATGAATAAGGACAATAATAATAAATACTATTTATTGACAAACGCCATAGATGTATCTAACCATAGAATGTACGACCACAGGAAGATTCGTCATCACTTCATGTATAGGAAATTTTAATAAATAAACACAACTTCATATGATTGCAAGTCTGCTAATTAATGAGCACACGCAATTAAGAATCCTACGAAGTACTCAGTACCAGTGGCCATAAAGTTTATATAATTGTCGGAGATCTAGAACCCATTCTTAAGCGGTTATAACATCCTTAAGTGGCGAAGTAAGTTGAACCTGATCGGTCATCCCAGACATTGAACTATACAAAGATGTCCACGCTATTTGTATTCTACGTAAACAGCTGTTCCATCTACAAATATGTATATAGTTGGCCTTTTGTCGATAAATGCAAACTTAGAATTATAGTATTCAAACATATAAAGTGCACCAATCATCGCCTCTGCGATTAAAAAAATGACCAAAACTTTCGTATAACCTTAATTTCATTTCCCAGATTATTAATAAGAATTATTTGAATTAGATTTTGAAAATTTTCTTTATTGTAGATAGACTGATTTTCGGTTGCCTGTCATAATTTTGGGAGTTCCGTAATCTGTGTTTTGTTGTCGTCACATGAAGGTTAATTTGAGAGAAAGAGTCGAAGACCGATGAATGGAGTTCAATATTTTAGCATACACAGGACCGAAAGGGATAAAAAAGAGTAATAATTACCTATTATATGCAGAAAACAGTCCGCATTTATTTGTTTACGTTGATTAGGGTGAGAACTTTGAAGATCAATAACCACGTGACTCTTGGAATGTCTCTCGTGTACCTTTTAATCCCAAAAGTTAAAATACGTCATAAATGATGTAAATATGTTGGAAAAAAGTAGTCACCTTTTAAATTTGGGATTTGTCATTTTGTATAATCTTTGTTTATTGACAGTTTGACATAAAAAAAAACTGGGCCAATCGATACAGACGGACAATACTAGTAATACAATACCATGTTATACACTAAACGACCTCCATAAAAGTACGATTAATCGGCTGCAAGTATGAAATGGGATACTAATCTAAATTAAAGCTTTTAACATAGAAAATGTAATCCAGCAATACACCTTAGTAGAATCCTCTAGAGAACTTCGATAAACTATATATGAAGAACCTTAAAACACTAAAATAAAAAAAAAGAAAATTAAAACTCAGAAATTAAAATATCAACCGTCTTTTTTTCTTAAAAATAAAGAGAGTATAAAGTTTTCAGTTATCGCAATCTTATATTTTCGCCCACACTGCAATTTGAAGTGCAATGACTTTTATCAGAGACACGTATATAAAAGCAGTGGTAACGACACATGCCTGATCACTTCTATCCCAGTCAGCTGTGCGCCTGGTGCTCCCTCGTGATAAACTGAGTATTTATCGATCTAATGATCCAGAACGGTGATCAATTCACAGTCTCTGAAGAGACCATAAATTAATTCAGTATAAACAAACGTTACGAGAGCGCTAATTAAATTTTGATAACCTTAATTATTCGCGTGGCAGCGCAACACGGGGGTCGGTAAATTCGCGTGAGGAATGCCGAAGGTTAGAGAGAAGATAGATTGAGTTATACTGTAAAGTATGTGATATTATTATCTTCTATATTACCAATGTGTTGAGTGTTCTAATGCTAAGTGGCCAGAGATATGGACGAGAACTACACGATTCTCAATACCACCTTGTTGGAAGGAATATACACGGAGAAGGAATTTTCTCGACACACCCTAGCGCTCTATACTCCCGCCATCATCTACACCGTCCTTCTGATGGTTTCTGGAATTTTTGGAAACTCTCTAGTTTGGATTATTTATTACTGGAAATGGAAGCACATGTCCACCCGTATATTTATTCTGTCGCTTGCCATGTGTGACCTCATTAATTGCGTCATTACCATGCCTACAGAAATCACCATCATTGTGGGTAGTTCTCTTTTTCATATGGGATTTATTTGTAAGATTTCTCGATTCACTACTTATATGTGTAATTCTGTGTCCACCCTTGTTTTAATTGCCGTAGCTGTTGACAGATATCAAAGGATTTGTTGTCCCCACCGCCCTGTGATGACGTCATCCAGCGCGCGCCGAAGCGTCGCCTGGTTGATTGGAGTGTCTTTACTAATAACATGGCCAGCTATCGTCTTATATGGAAAACATACGGTGACAATATCATCTCATGGCGCTAATTTCTCACTTCCAACGTGTCAGATTGACGATAGTTATGTTCACACTAAATACCCCTTGGTCCTCTTTGGGATCCACGCGGTGGGGACACTTATAACCTTCACCTCGTTCATCATTCTATATTCATGTGTCGCAGTAGCCGTGCGACGTCAACTGAGTTTCCGTAAAAGATCATCCTCACGCCATACAAGGTCAGAAGAGGGGTGCGGGAAAACCATCCTTAATCCTTCCTGTGTGTCTGCGGTGGAGCGAAGCGTCCGGACGACCGTGATTCTGTCTGTTGTGACGTTTTCCTACGTTCTGACGTTTTTACCGTTTATTGTGCTTGCTATCCATCGAACTCTTCACCCTAGCTTCTACCAAACCCTGACTGACCCTGCTAAGATGGCATATCAAGTGATTCTGCGTTCTTATCTTCTTAATTGCTGTATAAATCCTATTATTTATTCCTTCTTAAACACCGATTTTAGAAAACGATCCGCTTCATTGTTTAAACAAGGAGTTTGTAAATTTATATCAGGGAATTATGAACTGTGATCAACTTGTTTCCAAATATAGATTATTTTTCTAACAAGGTAAACTTTCTTATTTCTTAGATAAAACATATGGAGATAACGAACACTGTTCAAAATCAAAAGTCCATAAAACAAAAATGAATACAAAATAAGAACAGAGCAATCACGGACCTTCAAAACATAGAGAAATGCAAAGCAAAAGAGATGCCCTTTACATATTCCAATAGTTTGGGATCTTATGTAAAAAAATGTGTCAGTGCTGATGTAGAATTTTGATTATACAACTCTTTCCTCTTTATTGAAGTTTCGTTTTTATGCTTCATTTAATGAGGATGCTAAACGCAAATGATATACGGTATATATTTTATGTATTCATTTTCATTATTGAAATCTTTAAGGAGAGATGATACAAACAATTATTTTTTTTCATTAGGGAATAACGGTTTCCAAAAAGCGGATAATTCATTGATATTTTAACTTCTTAGACTTCGATAATGAAATACAAGTACCTGCCATATTTCCCCCTAAAAAGCGCATGAAGCACGCAACTAGAGTATTCACGATAAAATGTTTAATCTTCATTCATCTACCCCCTTTTTTCTTCAGAAATGTTTTTAAAGGAAAATATTACTAAATAACCTGTATTTTCATGCGTTAAAGACATGACATTTTGAAAATATCAGTTAATACCTCAATAAAATAACAAATATGAACAAATCACACTCAGTTAAGGTTTACAGATGAAAATAAATTTAAGAAATATGTCATCTTGGGGTTAAAAGTGTACCATAAACTTTAAAAAATAAACCAGGTAAGTTTAAGCAAAATGGTAAAACTCAGCCTATAATTTTTCTGATTTCCGCCATTTTTCTATTCCTCATAAAATTCACCCGGCTTGGTGTTCCTTTTTTGAAGAAAAAATGAAGGCAAATTAAAGAAAAAAAAACATTTTTACCATGATTAATCAAGTTGTGTACTTTTTGAGGGGAAATATAAAAAGTATTTAATCCTCGAAGTCTAAGGAGCGAAAAAAATCAACCTTTCTAAACCTCTAACATGTTATTAAGTCTCCTCCAAAGAAAGAAAAAAATGTTTCTATCATCTGTCCAAAAGTCTCAAGTTAAAAAACTTCATCCTTAATAAAATAAGCATTTATTTTGGAGTAAAATTTAAAACAAAAAATTGCCAAGGCGTTTACTCATGATCTGGTGTGTGTCAATCGAACACGCTCTAAGACCCCGATATAAACGTTATCTTAGGCCGTTGCCTTGGATTCTGTAGGATATCATGTATTATGTAACGATATTTATCTCCTATCTAAACTACTGCTGGCTCTGCCGAACAGAAGCCAGTGAATACCATTAACTGTTTGAACTCGACTGAAATATACAGTCATAAATTCATCAATATTTGATGAGTTCTTCAGATAAATAACGATCTTAAAACGGCAGAAACATTAATCTGTAGCCCGAGGTATGAACCTATTTTTTATTTTCTGAAGACCTCATTAGTACAAAGGAAACAAAATTACCATTAAAAACTAAATAGGTCTTTATTTTTATGAATTATTGATAACTCGGATCTATTTCGATTAAGCTTAAAAGGGGAAGCTTAGCTTTATTGTGATAAGACAATGACTTTGATAAGAAGTATTTTCCATAAAATTAAACCCTGTATTATTATTCTTTTCAAAGAATAGAGAAAAATCATACTCAAGTGGATCAACTCATCTTCAAGTATGTACTTTAAATTGATTATCACAAAAACAAGAGAGATAAATTAAGGTTTCGCCATTTTCACGAAGATCAAACAAGACAGAAATAAAAATGCTATTTACATGTAGATATATTTTCATTTTTATAAGAAAATTACTAGATGTACTGTGGGCAACTAAATGATACCCCTGCCTGCCATATGTACATGTATTTTATGGCAGTGTCCATGTTTTGCTGAAGGAAACCCAAAATATGTGTCTGATCAATAACTAAGTAAAATAGGAGGTGTACAATGGCAATATGGTATAAAGATTCTGTGAAAGTTTCATCAGTTTTCATTCAGTGGTATGAGAGGAGTTCGGATAAGAGATGGGTACCCCAAAGCGTAACAGACGGACGTACAGACATGCAGACAGACAAAACGATTACTATATCATACTATTTCTATATTATATATATTTCAAGCCGAGGGGGGTATAATAAAAATTAAAATTTATATATTGGTATTATCTAAAGAGCAAATATGAAATCGAAAATAGACAAAGAGGCTATTCCCTATATGTTTAACCCCCCCCCCCCCAATTTATCCCCTCTCTTTATTGATCAGATTCTAGTCAAAAACAACAAGATCGTAAAAGTTATTCATTACAATTACATTTGAAGAAAGTCAGAATGTTGCACATTTATTTTGCAAAGCAAAAAATAAAAACCTCTGATTTCAACATATATTGTGAATTCTTTAATATTGATTAACAATTTGGAAGAAGCTCTAGTACATTTTATTCCTTTAAAGATACATGTATTGTAGGTTGTGACAAACTCTGTTATTTTTAGGCTTAAAATTATTTTTTTTTCTACAAAACTCCTCTTCAGATGTAAATTGTAGAAAAACTCAGTGATATGTTATCAATTATAAAGAATGATGGGTTTTCCTGTCCAAGAAAATTATCAAGATGTAAGGAAACAAAATATTCGAAATTCCTCATAGATTTCAAAACAAGACACGTGAACATGTGTGGTCCATCGTGAATCAGGACAAGTGTTCAAAATCGGTATTTCATGCTATGAGGGTGTGGGTATTTTCTCTTTTTTCTTTACTTTCTCTCTTTTTATTGCTCTCTCATTGTTAAATTTACTTTCTGGTTTGAGCCCAAATCCTATTAGATTAAGCTTAACGTATATATTTATTAAATCCAGTGTTAGGAAAGCAATTCCAGTTTCTTTTAATCACAACGCTGATGGACAAATTAAAGAAATGCTTAACACCTGAAAAAAAGTCTGTTTCGTTTCATTTCACTTTTTTCATCTTCCTTATGCCGACCGCTTTAAATCTAATACCTCACGACAGCAGGAGAGATGGCGAGTAAATAACTTGTAGCACGTGCCAGAACTAATAATATTTAGGCGTTACATTATACTAACATATGGTTTCGGACAAAATGTCTGCCAATCTCTATGTATCTTAACTGGTCAGAGTGACTGCAAATGCATCGACGATGTACTCTATTAACAAGTATCAGAAAAAAAAAAACAGTTAACAGAACAGTTATACAGAAGGAACTGAAATCTGCAATAGATTCAATCTTCCCTTTATCCAATAATAATGTAAACCGCTCCATTTATTCTTTACAGCATTCTAGCTCTGTTCGTTTATTGGTGATCATAAATATAAAGATTTTGTTCTCGGGTTGTCAATGATTTTCACCCCAATGCATAATAATGTTTCGATACAATACTCGAATAAACGATATCGGAAGTCGATAATACCAGGAAATATTTCACAAAAGCTTTTAGTTGAGATTGGACGTGTTTGGAGAAAGGTTTCCGGGTATCATTGACAAGCAATATCTACTTTTTGGAGCTTTATATTGAAACATTACTCTGCATTTGTATTCGAATAAACTAAAGTCTTCTTGAATGAAATATTTTGAAAATAAAATCACATACAGATGGAAGGAATAAATGACGTGGTTTAATCAATGTTTAAGGGTAGAAATAAATCAATTTCAGATTTTAAATTTCTTCATTGTTGTTGGATTTAATATGCAAGATTTAGTCCGCCTGTGTGTCTGTACGTCCCTACGTCTGTTACGCTTTGGGATACCCATCTCTTATCCGCATGCAATTCCTCCTATACCACTAAAAGAACGTTAAATGAGACTTTCACAGAATATCCCATTATATAGCGTACGTCATTGTGACCTCTCGTTTTAATTTTTGATCGGACATATATTTCGGGTTTCCCATAGCGAAACATTGACCTACCATTCCTTTTATAATATTGAAGGGTTCCTTTCTGTTATCCGGAACTCATCCCATAACTCTGAATAAAAACTAATGATATTTTGACAGACATTTTTTAAACATAATATCATTGTGCACCTTTACTTTTTTATCCGATACTTATTTCGGGTATCCCAGAACAAAACATGCACTTTGCCATTATAATCATATGGGAGGCGAAGGGGGGGGGGTATCATTTAGTGAGTTCAATGCTCACATACCTCTTGTTCATGACAAGTTTAAAAGAAAAAGATTTAATGTAAGTGTACATGACATGCATGATATATGATTATGATCCGATTATTATTTGTCTTACGGATGTATGAATGAATTATCTTTAATAATGATATTCTTGAAGGATTAACGACGACACCGAAACATTCAATAACTCTCATTATTGATGAGATGTGAATAATATAGTAATTTCAAATATCTGAAAGGTAAAAATGAACACATCAAGCTTAAATAATCTATTCACAACTTACATTACAATTATAAGAGAAAACCGAACACTTAGTATATAGAGCGAATTTGAGTAAAGAGAAACTTACAAAGGAATTCTTGACAAACACTTTTAACTTTTTAATAAGGCCTACACGCCCTGGGAATGTACTACTTTTGTAATTCATAACTTGTTTATCGTTAACAAGAAAATAAATAATTAAAGGCAAAGGAACCAGTTATTGTAGATAATTAACTGTTGATGTTTTTGAGGGTTCGAATTTGCTAGCACTTAAGGGGAAATATAGCTTTTTCATTTAATGTGTTGCTAATTATGAAAGCTATAAACCGATATCGAGTGTTTATCATTGTAACAGAGATAAGATGATAAGGAGGGAAAGTAAAGGCATATGACCTTGAATATGGGGTTCATATCTCACTTTCTTAAAAAGTCATTAATTATATCACGCAATTGATTGAGTCAATGCATGGGCACACTGTGATATATATGCTTTGCTCTACGGCACAATATAAATCCCTCAGATGAAGTGAATACTATCGCAAGTTATTATAAACGTAATATAAGGGAAGAAACTGAATCCTGCT